AAAGTATTCTTTATGGAACAAATCATATGACATAAGCACGACGGTCTGTGCACAATAGTCCAAACTTAAACTTCCTTAATAGTACAAAATACGTCGTATGTTATCTATAATGCAGAATATCAACACCACACAAACATGTTTAAGCATAAAAACAACTCCAGATTCAAAATGTCTTAAACGACACAAAATATGTTGCACGGAATATCTTTTGTGTTAGCATGGTAACCCAGCTCAGAGACTGCAACTTGTTATTTGTTGCACATGTCTTATAAACAAAAAACAACAGGGAAAAGAAATGTTGTCAAATGGTCATTTATTAAATGACAGGAACATTTCAAATACAACCATAATATCAATCACTGTTGTTATATAATATATAGATTTAAATGTCATTAACTTCAGTCTATGTGTACAACAAAAAGATGGGGGTACAAATTATCGGCATACAAACATAAGTTTGAATAAAAAAAAACCAAAAAAAACATGGATATATAAGCTGGCTCAAGACAAAATGTGGGAGTGTGGTATGGGTGGGACTTCGAAAGATATTAAATGTAATCACAGTAGCAGAAAAATTATGAGGAGGGATGAAGATATGACGCGGTCAAAATCACGAAGAGGTGCGCGCCTCGCTGATTGGTCAATCCAGGCCCTGACCGCCTAGCATCACGGCTATTGCCGCTGGTCACGTGAACAGCCCCTTTGACTGGTCAAGCTAAAACCGTGACCGCTTAGCGAGTTGCCCTACACGGCCCTCGCTGTTAACACGTGCGCACACATAACATCCAAATAACAACAGATACAAACTACATAGGGTAACAGATGGTCACCAGGTGGTCAGAGTTCAAGATCTTATTCCAACTAACAAAATCAAGCAAGAGCCAACTTTCATAACATTATAATGTGAAGAACATCTGTAGGATTATGACAATTATACATATATATATATATATATATATATACATGAATATATAAAGTAACCATCTAACACAAATGTATTTATTTCATGAAATAAATTTTATTTATCGCACGAAAAATAGGTCTTAACTCAGGTTTCCCATATTCCTATACCTGTAAATCATACAAAAAATTACTTAAATTATATCATACCTCTTCAATCACAGAAAAAAACTTCTGTAATATACATAGTTATTCAATCATATATATACATGTCTTAAATCTTTCAATGTCTTAAATCTTTCATATGTCTGAAATCTGACCAATTCATGCACGTTTTAAATCATATTGCAATAATGGTTTATATGGAATATAAGTGTAAACCCATGTGCACGTCTTTATCATTTCAGATTAAATTTATACAATTCTACCAGAACACGCCTTAAAGTGTACCCTGAGAGGTCAGCTATATTGACCTTGGAAAATAGTTCTGCACATAAAATACACTATGCCGAAAACGCGAATGTCGTGGAATGTTCCGTTACTTAGAAATTGCGACTTTTCTGAAAAACACACCTTTGGCTGAGAGGCGTTGACCTCGTTTTCGGGCACCCAAACCTGTGACGTCATATTGTCTTTACTGTGCTACATGTGATTGTGATCTATTTTGGGATTTTCCGGGGTAATTTCTTTGTTAGGGTCCGATGACCTATAGTCATCTTGCTTCGTCCGTCGTCGTCCGCCGTGCGCCGTCCGTAAACTTTTCATTCAAACGACTTCTTCTCAATAATTGGAAGGCCCAGGCAACTAATATTTGGCCTGTAGCTTGCTTTGATGAAACCCTACCAAGTTTGTTCAAATGAATGACCTTGACCTTCATTCAAGGTCACAGGGGTCAAATGTCTTAAAATCTTCAAACGACTTCTTCTCAATAACTGGAGGGCCCAGGTAACTAATATTTAGCCTGTAGCTTGCTTTGATGAAACCCTACCAAGTTTGTTCAAATGAATGACCTTGACCTTCATTCAAGGTCACAGGGGTCAAATGTCTTTAAATCTTCAAAGGACTTCTTCTCAGTAATCAAAAGGCCCAGGCAACTAAAATAAGGCCTGTAGCATGCTGGGATGAAGGACTACCAAGTTTGTTCAAATGAATGACCTTGACCCACTTTAAAGGTCACAGGGGTCAAATATGTTAAAATATTTAAACAACTTCTTCTCAATAACCAAAAGGCTCAGATTGCTGATATTGTGCCTGTGGCATGCTGGGATGAAGGGCTATCAAGTTTGTTTAAATGAATGACCTTGAACAACTTTCAAGGTCACAGGGGTCAAATATGTCAAAATCTTTAAATAACTTCTCAAATACTAGAAGGCCTAGGGGGCTAATACTTGGCCCATAGCATGCTGGCATGGAGCCCTACAAAGTTTGTTCAAATGAATGACCTTGGCCCACTTTCAAGCAGGGGTCAAATATGTTAAAATATACAAAGGACTTCATCTCAATAAGCAAAAGTCTATGAGTGCCGATATTGGGTCTGTAGCATGCTGGGAGGAAAGGCTACCAAGTTTATTTAAATGAATGACCTTGAACAACTTTCACGGTCGCAGGGGTCAAATATGTCAAAATCTTTAAATAACTTCTTCTCAAATACTAGAAGGCCTAGGGGGCTAATACTTGGCCCATAGCATGCTGGCATGGAGCCCTACAAAGTTTGTTCAAATGAATGACCTTGGCCCACTTTCAAGGTCACAGGGGTCAAATATGTTAAAATATACAAAGGACTTCATCTCAATAAGCAAAAGTCTATGAGTGCCGATATTGGGTCTGTAGCATGCTGGGAGGAAAGGCTACCAAGTTTATTTAAATGAATGACCTTGAACAACTTTCACGGTCGCAGGGGTCAAATATGTCAAAATCTTTAAATAACTTCTTCTCAAATACTAGAAGGCCTAGGGGGCTAATACTTGGCCCATAGCATGCTGGCATGGAGCCCTACAAAGTTTGTTCAAATGAATGACCTTGGCCCACTTTCAAGGTCACAGGGGTCAAATATGTTAAAATATACAAAGGACTTCATCTCAATAAGCAAAAGTCTATGAGTGCCGATATTGGGTCTGTAGCATGCTGGGAGGAAAGGCTACCAAGTTTATTCAAATGAATGACCTCAACCCACTTTCAAGGTCACAGGGGTCAAATATGTTAAAATATACAAACGACTTCTTCTCAACAAGCAAAAGTCCACGAGTGCTGATATTGGGCCTGTAAGATGCTTGGAGGAGAGGCTACCAAGTTTGTTCAAATGAATGACCTCAACCCACTTTCTAGGTTTGGCTTGCTTTTTGTCAGATGACCGTTAAGGCCCTTGGGCCTCTTGTTTATTTACGTGAAAGTACTTCACATCTTCGCAATATGTAAGGTAGTGAACGAGGGGTCGGTGAGTTAGCGCTTAAATCCGCTAAAATGGCTTCCTATCGAGGAGGGAAGCGGTGTGTATGGTTGTCCTAACAATAACACGGATGGGGTGTCGATGCATGACGTCGATAAATAAAACTGATTGTTGATTAAATAAAAGTATATTTGTTAGGTTGATATTTTGTTATTTATTCTACAACTAAACATTTTAAATTGATAGGCTAGCCTATGACTTGGGCGGTCAAAGGAATATTATTCCTTCGTAATCGTGAACGCCTAATACTCGGAGAAGGCCTAGTCGTGAATGGGTCACGGGAATTTTCACCCCGAGAATTTTCATACTACTATTATATAGTATGGAATAGAATTATTAGAATTTATAGAATAGGTTATGTGTGTATGTTTTTTGTATAAGGTGTATTTGGTTTTTAGATCTTCCAGCAGACGATGTTGTTTAGTTATTAATTTTGCGATCGTAAAAATAACAATAAGATCACCAATCTTGATTTGAAAACACAGTTCACAGTGTAGAGATGTCATCTAAACTCATAATCACACCTGTGCCAGGTTAGGTAATTAGCACCTCTGTAGCTGGAAAAAACAATTGTGACACCTGTGAGGCGACACGCCTGTAGGCTAACAACAGATGCGTACCAGTGCTAGGGTAAAAACCAGTCAAATAATTGTTTAAACTTCTAAAACATCAAATTTTTATTATTGACACTGCGGAGGGTGTTATAATTGGTTGTTGACACCCTATCTATATATATCCATAGTGCTACGAAAATTCCCTGGAAAGAAAAATTCCCCTCGGACGAAACTTCTTCGGTTAGAAAATTCCCGACACCTAGTGAATGTATGCATAGTCTTGCACAAACGCGATTTCCCGACGTCAGAAATTGTTGATCGAGACTTTAAGATAGTAAAATTAGTCCAAAACCACACCCAATTTTATTTTGTTTCTTTGAAACGACGATTCACTGTTCGACTACTTTCACGACTATTGGTGAGACCCAGTGAAGTACGTGCCAATCTATGTTGCCCAAGCGATCGTCACTTTTCGAAGGGTCATTTTCCTCCTTACTGGATACATCGTCTTGTAATTCCAGTTCAAATCGGTAGGGCTGGATTCCGTCTTCAGACATATCATTCACACCATAATCAGACTCCTCAAAACTCATGCTCAAATCGCTCTCAGTTGCGGTGTCATTGTCACTGTCAGTCATGTTGACTGCCATTTCTGTTGAACTTATGACGTCACGAGTAGAAGAGCCTCGATTCCGCGGAAATGACGATTCGGCTGATTAGGTCTGGGCGGACAGGTGAAAATCGACAACTTTGAGCTTTAATAACTCGACACTGGGGCGACGGATTTTGACGGGGTTTTCATTATTATTATTTTTACGGCATTCTTAACATTATATCTAAATACAAAATTACTCTCAGGGTACACTTTAAACAGCAACACATATGAGGCAGAAATCATATACATGATTTGTGTTGTATCACATTAGCATCTGTGATGCATTACTCATTTATCATATCCTCACGATCTATCATTCTGAGGAAATCTGGACTATAATTTCTTTAATCTTTAATCAGTACTATAACTGCTAAATAATCCGGAATTAATTACTTTATTCATTTTCTTTCAGATTCACCATACTAATAGCAATCGTATTCTGTGGCTTAGTGTGTATAAAACAGTTTAAGCAGATTACGATCATGGATAACTATTTATCAAGACTTGCATCCTTCTTTTCCTTTCCGTTTTCATCTCCAGTTTCCACCGTTTCTTTGGCCGAGGCAGGCTTCCATTATACCGGGAATAAAGACGAGGTTGTTTGTCATCGCTGTACATGTAAATACAGTGGATGGCAGAAACATGACGATCCTAAGTCTATCCACAAAGCAATATCACCAGACTGCACATTTATATTTAAAACCGATAACGGAAATGATGATAAAAAACTGGTTTCCTTATCGAGTGGTACCGGAGATAAACAGGAGCAAGGAGAATGTGGAACGGAGGATGGCGCAACAGGTGGGCCATTGGGTCTTGTGGAAGAAAAAACTAAGGTTTCAATAAAACAAGATCAAAACTTCTCCGGCCAACAGCTAAAAACTGTTACCTGCCGGGAAACAGAAGTTAAAACAAATACTGATCTGACACAGAAAGAATCCGGCAACAATCTCGTAACATCGCCAGCTAGTAGTAATTTATCTGCAAGCCAGGTCAATCACAACGTCATGGCAGAACAAGATACAATGAGCCTAAATGTACCCGATAGATATACGCAAGGAAACCATTCACAATCACCAGAGATTACAAGAACCGGGGAGGATTTCCCTACTACTGTTAGGTCTGGATATGATCCTACAATATATACGGAAACCCGTCAAGGCACAGACTCTCATACATCTCAAACGCTTCGCGCAGTCCGACCTCGATATCCGCAATTTGCAATATTGTCTGTACGTTTGGCATCATATAAAAATTGGTCTACACATCTTAGACAAAAACCTGAAGCTTTAGCAAAAGCTGGACTTTTCTATGAAGGTAAACTGATATTGCTTTGCTGACATTGAATTTTATCTATCGTATAAGGATTGTACAATAGACACACATTTTGATACAAATTAAACTTTAACACAACCGAAGCTCTCTCCTGTTACGATAATACCAAATCTATTTATGCGTATGCGTTCATGATTGTCAAAAGTAATGGATTCAGTTATGAGATAAGTGTTCATGCCAATTAAACAATATTGGAGTCCAATCCTTATTATATAAAGTCTCCACTATCTTTTCTGCTATTTTCGCACCATTTACACTACCGATGAGTCTTAAACTTTCCAAAAAAACTTTATGATGAAGTTTGATACATGGTTCACTAAAAGTCGTTGTAACTGATTGGCACTTTTCACTTATATGCTTTAAATAAAGAAAAAGAAAACAATGCAATTGTTATCTAGATTAGATGAAAGCAAAAGAAAGAAAGATGTTTCCTCCAACATTTTTTTTTAATTTAAAAAAAATCATTATTGATTTGTTCCAATTGTTTTAAGAACAAGAATAATGCTTTCGGAATGTTTTTAAAAATCATCTCGTCTAAGTTTGATATAAGAATATAATTTCATTTGTAATGCTTAATTGTTACGCAAAATAATTCAATCAATATATCGTCTATCATTTGGAACAGGTACCAGCGACTATGTGAGATGCTTCCACTGCGCAGGCGGCCTACGCGAATGGGAGCCAGAAGACGACCCTTTTATTGAACATGCGAGATGGTTTCCATTTTGCGATTTCATGCGACTGATAAAGGGTGACGAATTCATTATAGGTGTGCAATCTGGAGCTATTAAAGCTGATCATCAGGAAGCCACATTGTCTGAATCATTGGTAAGATGTGTAAATATAAAGTTATTTTATATCTTTGATAACGTTTTATTACTTGTTTCATATGGATGTATTTTTCTTTAAAATTAATTAGCGGAATGTCTATTATAGTAAAGACAGGCTTAGTCATGTTTGATTCTTTTTCTGATGCAATTAACCAATTCATTTTGAGTTTGCTTTAATCTTTGAAAATGAAAAAAAGTGATTAATCTTCATAAAAACGAAAAATGAATTTTCTTTCTTCACAATTTTGTTAGTTACGATCAGAAAAGCCGGGAACACATATCCAGAACGTGTTTGATGATCCAGCTGTTCTCAGTGTCATGGAAATGGGCTACAACAAGGAAACCATATCTAAAGCAGTCCAGTTATTCACCGCAAGAAACGGTAATACATTCACTTATCAACTTCATACCTAGTGTCACGTCTCATAACCATGTTAGGTATCTCATTCAGAATCAGTAGATGGTGACATATCTTTACAATGACAAATTACTGTTATACTTTTTTCACCAGGCAAAACATTGAGTGCAGAAGCACTACTGCCAATTGTTTGGGAGATAGTTGGGGATGATGGGATTGACTCCGAGGAAGAAGATGACAATAAATTGAACGTAAAAGTTCCGGATGAACTACACAATACTGTTCATCGAAATGGAGAGGACATTTCGACTTGTGAAACAGGTAAGTATTGAAAAGTACATCTTTTACATACGCTTGTATGTTGGTTACGAAAGGTTTTGGTAACATTCTTTCCACCATAATCAAATTTAGCGTTTGAAAACGGTGAAGCAAAATACGCTAGCCCAACCGGGACACATGGTCTTATTTGATTGTTGTTTTCTTGGGTTGCCATGTTAATTTTTCTTTTGTTAATATCTTGCCAAAATTTCATCAAATTTTAGTTTGAATTAAAGCTCTGTTTACACGTCATTTTTTCCCAAGTTCTTTTGAAACATTCTAAAGATAAAAGATAAATAACGGCAAAAACTGGTATTTATCGTTTTTGTTTTTCATCACAGATATTGAAATGCTTAAGGAGGAGAACAAAGCATTGCGGGAGAGGAAGATATGCAAGGTGTGTCTCGACGAGGAAGCAAATATCGTATTCCTTCCTTGTGGTCATCTTGTCACCTGTCCGATGTGTGCCTCCGCATTAAGGAAGTGTCCAATATGTAGATGCTTCATCAGAGGAACTGTCAAAGCAATTGTGTCGTAATTTCAGCATATTTGCGAATTTCTAACATCGTTGTACTACATGCCTTGAATCTCAGCACGTTTGCGAAATTTCAACATCGATGTAATGCTTACAATGTTAGCATTTTCAAAGTGTTTACTATTTCAAAGATGAACAACTGAAAACATATTTTTGATTCTTAATCTTCGTTTACAGTTGACTATCATTCTGTCATATCATAGCTAAGCTGTTATAGACTGAAAAGGATATATGTTTATATTAGTTAAGCTACCACCACAAGTCAATAGAAGTCCACAACGTCCAGTTCTATCATTCAGATACATGGTGAACATTTGTCATACCGCGACCTTCAAGTGACTATCCCTCATCCAACCAGATCAAGAAGAAATCTTGGTATGCGTACTTATATTCTTACAATTAAAATATGTTTACTATTTTACTATCAAGTAAGTTCAAACTCAAAGAGGTTAAATATGTATATTCATTTAAGTGACTTCTTCTAAATACCCTGAAAATACAGTGCAAAATACCGTGTCAGTAGCATACTTGAATAAAAGGTTATCAAGTCAGACAAAACGAATGACCTTAACCAACTTTCTAAATCAAAGAGATCGAATAAGTAAAACAAGTTTTTCTCAGAAAGATTAATCATCCTGTGAGGTCATTAACATGTCATTTTCTCTGGCTGTTTGAATTAATTCTTCGATAAAGTCTTTATTTGCTGATCAGATGAGCGATGCAATCTCATTGGACACATTGTTTGTGATTATGAGAGAGTATACTACGTTGAAAATACTGAATACAGGTTTGAGAAATGCTGACAAAAATTGGTTTTGACGTCTTATCGACTATGTGTTCTGTTAAGTTGGTACACCATTAATAGCAATATACATGTGATTCACTCAGAATATAGCTGGATAAATATTCACAGATTTCGCGTTTGATATATACCCGTTGCTAACTGTTACATAACATCATTTACAAACGATTCTGGCCTATATTACAAGCCCTCTGAAATTAATACATAATGAAGACGTTATCTACTCAAATGACATATATTGAATTTAATTAGGAAAACAGTAGTATCATCTCTTGAATTTTCTTTCTCTTTGCATCTTATGGCTTAATATTGTATTTAATATATATTTTGCTTAGGGATATACTGAAAAAGGATTCTTTACTCTTGTTTGCATATACTGCTCGACCTGATGTACGTAATATTTTTAAATACTTTGATGTAAACATGTTTCTGGTAAACAAGTCCCATTATATTGACATTACCGATGCTATTTTTAGATACACACAGGTAAGATTGCAAAACATGTATTCATATGCTGTGTATTATGTAGTCTTGTCCCAGAAAAATCGGTCAAGGTGAGATAAACCAGACGTAATTTAACCTGTTATTGAGGTGCTTGTTTATGTGTATAGGGATGTACCTGACATAAACAGCATAAACTATTTGAAACCGGGAAGTAAATTTTGATATCAACTTTTTAAAATATAAACAAGTCACTATTCTGTTCATTGGTAACTTCAAAACGCATCACAATTTCATTTTCAGTTAAATTAAAAACGCTTGATTGTATTTTTATTAAAGTGTGTACTGAGCCTCATATTCATTTGTTCCATGATATCGTTTTTGTTGTATTTGTAGAGTAGGTAATCTAGATTTACCAATACAAATAATTAAGTGTTATCTGTAATCATAACATTCTATCTGGGATTTCGCGCATTGAAACGGCATCGAGTAATTTGTAGATAAGTGTGCGCATTTGTTTAATGGAAAGAAAATCGAAGATTTGCAGACAATTAGCATGTGTTTCGAGCGATAGCCTGTTTGACAGAGGTTACCGGGAGGCTGTTGGCATCAGAAAAATCTTGTTGGACAACACTGCTCCAAAACTTTACCTGTTTATGACTAGTTAATATATCCGGTAGACTGCACATTAGCAACACCAGAAGTGTGTTATTAGTAAACAAGGCCGCCTTGTGGATTTTTAAAAACAATTTTGAGCTGTGTTCTTAATCGTGCTTATATTTAGTTTTGTTCCAAGTATTCCTTTATACTAAGTCAGTGGTTAGCAGAATAAAACAATTTAACTTATTCACGTTTTACTTCATTTCTTTATGGTTAATTATGAAATGTGACATCAGAAATCTATGATTAATCTCGATATAAACGGATGAAGTGATTCTGAAGAACAATATGAGTAATCGATGATACCATCCAACATTTTGTGAAAAAATATACAAAAAATTGCAGAATGTGGAATTTCCCATTTTTAAAATTCAGTTTCAATATTTGTTCTAAATTACTGCTATAAAGGTGTTGTCTAAGCAAATGAATTAGTGTTTGCTGTAGAAAATTTTAAGCACATTTCGTTATTTTTGTAAACATGCATTTCCAATGGACTCGTATAATGAAAAGAGCTGTGTGATGCAGTTTTTATAAGGCATTACTGTATCTTGTAGTTTTTATCTAGAAGTCATAACTACTTTTATGACATAACTACCATCCATTGTAATATTGTATGTTGAAGCTGCTTTTGTTATATCCATTATGACGTAACAACATTTCATTTGCAAGGAAACGCCCTCAAAGAGATATACTGAGTGATGATATCGCCAGACCAGACTTTGTGTCAGTTTATTAGAATACTGTTTTCACATTGCAAAAGTGTTAAAGTTATTTGATTAACAGATACTTTTATCTATTTCCCTTTCAAATGGTAATTAAGGAAACTCATATTTCATATGAGAGATCCTATCTATATTTCTGTTGTTTAATATGCTATATATTCTAAATTCTCGTGAATAGTAGGAACAGTTCTGTTTTGAATATTCACATGTATTTGAGATTCACTTAAAAATATAAAGAGAGTATTATCATCCAATTATGCAGCTTATGCAATTGCCCTTTAATTTTTCATCAGTCTGAGTTTGATTCCACTAAACTCCCTTCTGGATTCACACTGTCGGCCCTTAGCATCAATAAATAGTTTCAGATGTCGGAAACAACTGTAAGATACCGTTTTATACACAACAAATAATCCATATCTAATAAAGCTCGTTTTTGTGTCTTTTGTGAAGTACTTCTAAGCTTCGTATGTTTACGTATTATGCTTCAACCACCCAAGACCTTAAGACGTATTACAAATACCATATACTAACTGAAAAAATGTTAATAACAAATTATCACCTAGTTCGACTCTTTGTGGCCCACGTCTTGTTAATTTGACAATTGAATATGTAATTTTGTATGAATCATCACAAACATATTGAGTTATAGTAATGTAAACTTTAAAGTTTGTTTTTAGATAATGATAATGATTTTTCAGAAGTTGAGAGATGGCTCTGTTGACATCCAGTTTTCGATAACCACTTGGATAATTGACACTACTCTTTTCTTTTCTAATCATATTCATAGTATTTGATTATTGCAAAAGCAAACTTAATCAATTCAATAATCTGAAGTGCTCTCATATAAGAAAATTACTTATAGCTCATTATGAAATTAGATACTAGTTTGTTCTGTAGATGTATGATTTCTAAGTGGGCTAGACTCAAGGTTTTGTTGTAACACACCCTTCACTAGGTTCAGGGAAGCTTACGTCTGAAATGTTTGTGGTTAATAAACTTTTATGATCTACAACTACTGTGACACGTTTGTTTTTAAGACAGTGATAGTGGTAGTTATTTTACTGAAATGTGTTAGATGTATTTCAGCATTTAAAAACGATGATAATATAAAAAAAACACGGAACCAAATAGTGATGGACCGAACTTGATCCTTGTCACATATTGACGACATGCAATACTTAATTACTTCCGGAATTACTATGATTTATTTGGCTGTTTAAAATACAAGTTGTTTCGTAAACATTTACAATTGTACATAAATCTAAACCATTCAATCATTCACATTCATTCATTCATTAATTCCCTTGAGTAACAAAAAGAATGAAGAGTATGTCGCCATCAGCTGGTCTGAGAATTAAAAAAGAACTAACTCGGGCTGAAATCGATTATGATAATTCATGTCCGTATGTTATAACGTTACGTAGCTTGAAATACACCATATCCAACAATTAATTCAGAAAGGCCACAAGCTGACCATATTGTTACGTCACATGATATAAGAACCCTACGTATTGTCAGTAGACAGTTCACGAGCCGAACATAGTGCTGTATGTACATCATATATCATAAGCACACTACTTGTTGTCAGTCGAATTTCCCTCGCGTCGACCATTCGTATTGTCAGTGGACAGCCCACGAGTAAACCATATTGTTGCCTCACATATTATAAGTGCAGGGCACATTTCATAACCACGGTGTCGCGATTTGTAATGTCCTCATGGAACCCTGCCTGTAATCTTCTGAATAGCTATCACGCAAGACATCATGCAGTTACTTTCCATTGCTGTTAAGTACCCAATGGATTTCTCCTTCACCTTGCCATGTATAGTGGACACACATCGGAAAACCATCTATCATGTTCCTTCTGGGGTTGATCATCCTCTTCCCATCCGTCCAACTGTCCGCCACAGCAGTAACACTCACATACATCATCAACACCTGAAACGATGTTACAGAGATGACATTAGGAATTACAAATAACTTGTATCTTAATATACATTTAACATAAAACGATTTCCTAATAGAAAATATAAATATGAATAAAAACAGGTATGATGATCGTCTGGAAGACACATACTGCATAGCAACTATTATTGTACGATGTTTTTTTTATAATATGATAAGACACAAACCTGTATAAAAGAACCCAGCTCGGGCAAGATCTTCCGGCGTCTGTTTTAAATGTGTTGGCCAATTTCGGAATGTTCTCAGTCTATCTATCCACAAAGAATAATAACTGTGTTTGGGATATTTCTTGTCTTCTAAGGTGTACACCGAATTATATTTGTCAAATCCTCTTCCATCTACAAAGCTTTCATCACAAATTTCTTGTTTCTGTCTGGCATTTCGAGCGCAACCATTAGTTCCGAGAATATGTTTTGCACAATATTCTCCATTAATGACCTGTGAACCATTGAAGAGCTTTAAAAAATCAGGTTCTCTGAACTTAAACCTGTCACATTTAGGAAAATGTCGGTAATGTGTGATGTGAACGTTCTGTCCTTCTTCAATACCACAAAGGACACCTCCACAGTAAATGCACTGTACTTTCCTTTTAACCTCATCTATACTAAACAAACCATCATTAACGAGATCCTTTAGGAAAGGATCAGAAATATTCTGCCATTTTCCGAAGCTTTTTTTTCGTAACACTGGATCCCTCAAGTGCTTATATCGTTCTTTTGGTGGCGGTGGAGCAATATCCATCACTTTTGTTAACTTCGAATCACAACAATCTGCAACATAATGATTAAAAAGTGTTTACAACCACTCAGGAATGTGATTAAGGCAGCTTGACGTCACTCGTTTTACACTTACATCTCCATAAGTAGTATGATTGAATTCCGATACGTGTAAATACAGAATATATAATTTTGAAAGTGTTTACATTCTCATTAATATATCAATGCTCGAATTATTTTTTTCAAACTTGAAGATGCAACATTCAATTTCATAAAACATAAGGCCTCTTAATGCTGACTATACTCACTATTGATTATGTCTTCGCTGTTCACTGTATAACCGTGTGATGTTTCTCCTGTGTATATATACAAATATCAATGCCGATGGCCATGAACTTTTCAGTGTATATCAACAACGTATGTAAGACATGAGGTATCCAATGCTAGTATTTTCTCGAACACAATTTGTTTATTACATTTTCATGTATAAATGATAATCGATGTTTTTGTTAATTTGCCAGAATGTTCTAGTATCCCATAGTCAACATGATATTAAAACCATGGTATAACATACGTCAACGTCTTATCTCCAAATCAGACACACAAAAATATGTTGTTGATACAATCAGTTATATAATCAGTTACGAACACTGCACATATTGAAGTCTGAAGACACTGGGGATTCTTTTCATCTGCATAAGTTGGTTGCACCAAAAATGAATGTGTTTCACTAACTTTGACTCTGTTACACAATCAGCAAAATGGCCAAAGTTTCCCCCATTGAATTAGCATATGCCATTATCATTAATAAATAACAAGGAATGATATTACTATCAGTTGAGATTGATTGGAAAAGTGATTGACCGTGGACAAATTGGTGTTGTCGTTGGTAGGGCACAGCCGACTGCTGGATTGCGAGTATTAAATCATAAACCCACACTTTGTCGCATACATCCAACAGCGGTGCAAGATTTAGTAGTGATACGAAACTGGCTATTATTGAAAGGTTGTCCCCTATCACACATTCCGAAACTGATTATACTATTCCATGTGAACCTGATCCTGAATCAGAAGCTGAATATGATTAAGATTTCAGTGATTTAGATGATAGTGAGCATTTTAGAGTATTTTGAATGATATCGAATCATTTTCTGTTCATGATGATCACACATATTCCAAATATGACTAAGAAATATTTTAGCACAATTAAAAGATGTTTTACAGAAATCCCTTGAAGACTTTGTTGCCACTACAGCTGAATCAGATGCACTCGCTCCTTAGCAAACTATTTCTGAAAACCTTGTTTTGTAAATAAATAAATGGTATTACAAAATAATAAAAAAAATCATTTCACTTAATGAACAGGCTGCTGAGGGTAAAACGAGTAACCTGAAACGGAAGCATTTCCCAAATGTTAACACTGTATTAGATGCATGTGTATTCACAGATACATAAACACTGACTGGTGATAACGCAATAATGTTGCAACATTTGACCACTGTGATGGAAATGGTGTAAATCAGATAAATTGCCGGATGCACAATCGCTAATAGTAGATAGCGCTTATCTCGTATTTTACACGATAGTGCCAGGAATGGATGCTGAAATACATATAATTAAACTTCAAAAAGATCAGAATATTTGAAAATATTACCGTTTCAGCTTCTGATATCACGAAAAGTTTGGTTCATGGAGATATGTTAGAGGAGAGGGTTAAAACACAAAACGTCCCTAAAGATGTAACAAATGCACGCAGTTTTAGTTTCGGACAAACTATTCATTATTACGTTTTCACCTCAAGTCAATTTCATGTGTGTACATCAGGAATAATTGATAAAATGTTCAGCGTTGCACATGGGCATCTGGAATTGCTGCCACAGAGAAAATGCATCTGTTTCTTGCGGTGTCAATTTCAGAAGGACAATCTCACAAAAATAAAACGAGAAAAAGGGAAAAAGCATATTGCGGAGAAATGCCCGTCAAGTAATCATAACTTTAATATGGATTTTCTGAAACAGGACATATCTAATAGTGAACTTTATTTATTAGTAAACTTGCATCAAAATTTAAACTGAAGGCTGAATTTTTAAATAATAAAAACTGGTACAGTCTATTTGTTAAAAATATCATTACTGCATATTGTGTTAGAGTAGAGACGCAAAATTAAAAGCCAACTTAGATATAGATTTGAACAATGAAATACAAATATGTAGTACTCTGCCTTACCCAGATGAAGTGGAAATACAGCCACTACAGAACAGGGGGAAACACTATTATATTCACAGAAAGTGCCAAATCCATGTATATCTGCAACTTAACCTAATTAAAAAGCAGGAAAATACCTTCTTGATATGTAATTAAAAAATGTTGGAAGTACACATGGTAATAAAAAGGAAAAGGTGCGAAAAGGAAGACAAGAAAGGGGGAAAGGCAAAACTGATTTATACAACTGATGATACTCGTTGAATATGTGAAAAAATATAAAAGGAAGCAGATAACTGGATATGTTTTGATGCTTGCACAATTGGAGGGAGATGATAAATGGGTTCAGATACATAATGTGCATTGAATTCTCATAGTCTATGAGTCATATATTTGTTTCATTTTAATAAAGCACTGAACAAGTGCAAGTGTTTGATACTGTATAAGTGCCGGTGCGCGCTACGAACCAGTGTTCGGTTAGGAGCAACTGCTCTGCGCACTGTACAAGTGCCATTGCGCTGCGTTGACAACTTCGCGGATGGTCGCCGTTGGTTGCTCAAGGGATAAATCCAGGTGCTAGTGTGCTGACAGGTAGTGAGCGTGTGGTTTGAGGTATTGTTCTGTATTTTCCTTGTCAATTACCAATCATAGTGTACATATTATTAATTCAGCATAAATTAGGTAGTGTTCACCTACACCGGAGCTGACGTATTGGTAATTTACTTAGAGTTCGACAAGTGCCGTATGCTACTCCACGTGTATTCACTGGCCACGTGCTACACCTATAATGTATTATGACCCAGACTATCCTTCATCACACTAAGATACACTACCTTTCCTGCACAATCGTGTATCTTTACTCCATCATAACTATTTGGTGCAGGATTTTATTATGAAGGGACGGCGGACGAAGTCATTTGTCACAACAGTGAAGGTTCATAACCACGTATATGATGACACCAAGCTAAATTTAGCAACTGGTGCTTTATATGTCATATTATGGTGTTTTTAGGGTTGTCGTTACAACACAAAGGACGTCGTAACAGGTTACATCCATCTGAAGTTATAATTGAACAAGTGTAATATGGAGTGACATAGTTTTCATTCCAAACTGGGATACACGAAAAGTAAAATTAACAAGAAGCAAAAAATACCTGTAACGGATGTGAATACAATAAAGAAAAATATACAAGGTAAGTGAACAAATTGATCAATGTTTAAATTCATCATCATACAGTGTTAGTCACTAAAATATGCTCTTTGCACTTCACGATATTGATAAAACTTAATGATAGCGTGTATATTAGGAGGTTTTGTTATGTCCGAACAGGACGGCGGTATCGACAGACCATGCTGACACATGCTACTTTTTATCGGATAACATTACGCGCAGGACGTGACTTACATACAAAACGGTACAATTCCGGATAGGGTGATTAGTGCTAGGAACTGACCTATGAAGATACAGAACAGGTTTGTCATAAATCATTTGTTGAATTATATTATCATTAATAGTTAAACGCATATCAATGATGTTGAATATCTGATAATAAAACAATGTCAATATCATGTTTGAATGTAGATCCCGTTAAATATCATATATATTTCAGATATATGACAGAATGAATTTCACAAGTGCTAACTTCATCACTCATATGACAAATATATCTATATATTTTCAACTCGAAGAACAACATATATCTATATTCTAATAATTCATTTGTTGAAATGTATTTTTATTAGTATGATAACGCTTACCAAGGATGATAAACAACGAGATAAAAATAAACATTAAATCCTATTAATATTATCAACAATATACATGCTTGCATGACATTTGAAATGATTGATGTCCATAATTCCAGGCGATAGGTGCTCTACAAGTTTACTTCCTTTGTTTTTCAGCTAAGCCATGAGGAATGAGGAACGTGTGCGTAATTTTCAAAATGTCGAAAAAAATTAAAGGAAATGTAATTTGAAGGCTAGGACTTAGTTAGATATGCTCATTGCCTACATATTTCGATGGAGGACGAAACACTAAGATACACCACCTTTGCTGCTTTTCCACAATCGTGTCCCATTACTCCATCACAACTATCTGGGGCAGGATTTCATTATGAAGGGACGGCGGACGAAGTCATTTGTCACAACTGTGGATTTAAGTACATGAACTGGCAAACGGGAGATAATCCGCTTGTGTTACATCAACAACAGTCACCATCATGCCATGTAGTCTGTAATCAAGTAGAAAACCAGAATTTTGAAGAAATAAGTCACCAGCATCACGAAAATGACAGAAACACCCATACCAATATAAGATCGCTGCAACAGGGGATTGGACAGTCCGAAGCAAGACCACGTTTCCCTTACTTCGAGTCTTTTTCAGCACGTCTGCAGTCGTTCAATCAATGGCAACACACTACCTGGAGCAGCATTAGTCTTAATGTGTTTGCAAATGCTGGATTATTTTATGAAGGTGCGTTTTATCCTGCTGATAAAATAGTTCATATTTACACATTTAAGAAATTCGGTGTTACATTGTAGAAAGTTCAGCATATCATATTTATTATCTTTATCTTAATGTTATGTATCTTATTGTCGAAATTCTGAAATTATTTCCGATAAATCCATCGCAGTAACTTTTTCAATGCTAACAATGCCATCTATAAAAAAATAATCAGAGAAGTAATTTCACATCAAGATGACTCTCATATCACGTCTCGGTTAAGGTTTAACAAATGGGCTATGCTTTTATTAAAAAAATAACGTAGATCTGCACAATATTCTGATATCTATTTGTAGTTACTGTTGTTGACATAGCCCACAATGTGCATGTCAAATGTTTTTTATATACTTCTTTTTTATAGTTATCGATACGACAATTTTTGATATAAGTGTTCCTCTCTTTCATATTTGTTAAGACCAATTTAGATTTTCATACCTTTGGTTTTTATATGTAGGCCATCTGCATATAACTGAAGATTTAGGTCAGTCAAAACAACGTAAAGATTAATTCCCGGTTTCGATATACTGTGGCTATTGTTAAAAAGTATTGGTTTTTACGTTAAAATTACGTATTTGCGATGACAATTAGCGATTGGTAATATCAATTTTCTTTTAAAAACAACATAAAAGTGTTGTCCTAAATATGTGTGCATTAATTTTCAGGGAACTACGATATTGTGACGTGCTTCTATTGCGGGGGAAGACTAGGTCATTGGGATCGAGGCGATGACCCTTTTTTCAAGCATGCTTGCTATTATCCAGCATGCCCGTATGTTCGACAGTCTAAAGATTATCGATTTAAGATTGGATTTCAGTCAGAAAACTTGAGAAAAGATTATGAACAGGTAACCTTATGTGTGAGGTTTCAAACTCATCTGAATAGTTTAGAGATTATTCACGATAGTGCGGGGTCAGTCTTCTATTAATCGATCTGTCTATTTATAGTCAGTCGGCCATTCCACTGTCTTCCCATTCATGACCAGTGGGTACATTTATCTAGTATCCCTTTTATATATCAAACGGTTAAAACATGACGTTATATCTAAAAACTCAATGCTAAAATGATCAAAGGTTTGATTGTTTTGATGTCAAGGTCACGTGAACATTAAAAAAGGAATTAAAACGATGAACACGTAATACAGCTGTGTAGATGACAGTTATTCAAATGAAAGTCCGTGAACCTCAAAGATTATGGAGACAAATGTGTTCAATCAATTTATGAACGAGTAAAGTGTCGATGCTGAGTAGTCGGGTAGGCAGTGAAAACGCACTCACCATTCAACAAAATGTTTGGGATTCAATTACGTGAAGGGACGTGAAAATGTATGGGGTCACATGCTCGACCACGTAAATGAGTGATTTTCTTACACGATTACGCTTACGTTTGTCTAAAGTCTATGTACCTGGTTACACAATCAATAGCACCATTCAGTTTGTTATCTCCTGCTATTCTGTATTTCGCAATTTTGTCAATTACACAAATTCATTAAATAAATGGCAATTACTCTAAGATAATATGACCTTTATTGTTCAGCCTCTAAAATGTTCTCCATATCCTGCACTACCGTCCTTTATATACACTTCATATACTCTATCCATTGTTAATCCTTCAACACATGATAACTAAACAACCAGACGATTAACTCTAAAGGAAGAAAACAGGACTTTATTGGTTCAAGAAAGATCGGATCTAACGTCTTAGTAGTGAGCTATAACGTTCGGTGATAATCGTATTTTTTCTTTTGATAACTTTCACATTGTCCATTTCATCACAATTTGTACTACAATTAATACAGTTGAATTATTGATATTTAACAGTCATCAAGTGGTCCAATTGGCGGGAATATACCTGAAAATATCGAAGAACTGTTTCAGCACGCAGCTGTACAAGCTGTCAGAACTTGTCAGAACAACGAAATGATATTGAAAGGCGTTGAGCGACTAAGATCCAAGGGAGAAGGTACAATCAAAATTTGACACACAAAAAAGTACTGAATATGTAGTAACTTTATTGTAAACACAAGATTGAGTGGATGGCTATTTAAACATTTTGAATAAATTTCTGTATGCTGTCATCAGAGAGAGGTCGTCTAATCTGGATGGAACATAGCGCTCAAATTATTGTTAATGGTTCTAATGACAGTCCATCCAAACTACAAATTACAAAATGTTTTGCGCAGAAATCATAAAAGAAACTTTACATTGTGAAAATTATATTCTTCTCGGTCCTTTATGCAACATTCTTGTCTTCATTTCCACTTCCTGATGCCAATTTATTGATGGTTTAATATTTTGTCTTTTGGTGACAGTGCAGCCATTAGTCACGTTAATGTTTCAATCTGGTTATATCAACTATAATCACCCGTTCGTTGTGGCTAATAGCGTGTTAATCATTTGGTTTCATATTACTACTCTGCTGATATTTTAACGCAGAAAGTTAAATACCAGCTTTTCGACTTTATTTTCCTGGTTTGCTAAGGTATGAATATTTGTATAGCAATGTATTTCTTTCATTCGGTCAATATGGTTATGAAAGAAATCAATTCAAAAAGAACTTTATATTTCTTGTTTGCTGGCTCCAACCAACAAGATTAAGATTGTTTTTATAAAATAGTTCTATACAAAGCTACTGAATCTCATCTAGAACATTTTTATATTGTTTTCATATCCTCTGTTCCGAAACTCATTTTTCTCGATATATCCTAATTAAGTATTTCATGTGTTATAATGTTGTGTTCATGTTATCTGTATAACGTTATTTTTATTGTTCATTGACATCATCATACAAATTTCAGTGATTTTTTTTATGAACAAGTTATTGCATATTTTGCCCTCATTTATTAATTTTTATTAAAAAAAAATTCAACCAATCAAATACCTACCATTTACGTTTAATTACATTCTTAAATACAATACATTCTTATCTTCGTTATAGCGCACTTTAATGCTTCAAATTTAATGCAATGCATACTGGATATAGAAGACGAAGAACAGGAAGCAAAACAGAAAAAGGAGGATGACGAAAAGAAAAGATTAGGTTTGTATCATATTGAAGAACTTAGGAAGAATTGGTTTCTTTTCGGAAAATAATGAAAAAACCCAATCTAAGCAAATGAAATTGACCATAGCAACCGCGGAACCTTTGCAGCTATTGACAGGTCAATACCCAACACATTTTGATGAATAGCTGATGCATTATGCACACTGAAAGTAGAATATTATGACCGGCTAATAATATATGCACAAGTGTGTTACATACAATATGTTTTCCGTATGTCACAGGGTAAATTGGAGTAAGTGTCCGTAACGTCCTGTTTAATCTGTATTCGTTACTGTCAGTGTATTTACGTGTATGTCCTTATTTGGTGTTACCTGTTAGGTAGTGTCAGTGTCTGTCCTTATATGGTGTTGTCTTGAGACGTGTACATGTCCAGGTGTGACAGGTGAGGAAGTCGTGCAAGAGTGAGTGTGTAGAGTAATAAAACTAGGGATACCCCTGGGTGCTAGGCAGAATCACAGACTAGCCACGTCGCTCTGGACGTCCTCGGGAGTCCAGGCGCCACATATAGCACAGTTAAGTGACTGACACGACCCGACGGTCGGTGTAGTGATGTGATGGAAATCCGAAATCAGGGATATTAATAAAATAAAACGTTCAACACACAACGAATTCGAGTTGATGGTGTGACACATAGAATATACAACAAAATACTTGTGCATAATCGAATTAGCTGCTGCTTGACAGAAAAAGCTAAACGCATTTTTAGCCTGATCCGAAGCCTTTATCAAAAGCAACATTTAAAATTCATTGTAAAAATGCAATTGCTCTTATTCTGGTTGACTTTGAACAAAAGGTTTTAAACGTACATATAATCTAGTATATAAAGGTCTTCATGAAATAACTTTCCTCTCTCACATCGGTCGTTTCTCATCTTCTTTCATCTAAAATATAACAAAAATAAAAAGAAAATTATATATATTAGCTTCATCTTAAAAAATACTCCTACATATGTTCATACATACTTTTTCTTTAAATTCACATATTCTGCTCCAAACCCACCTTGATTTCCCTTACATTTTGAAGGCATTTAGAAGAAACATCAAGAAGTGGAATTTTTTTTATTTTGCCCGAATCATTATGATCGCCTTTCCATTTATTATAACATCTTATCAACATATATTGCTGTTTTATTTGTAGAAGACGAAAATGAAGAACTCCGATTTTCTAGGTTATGCAAAGTATGCCTAGCGAATGACTTCAACACAGTTTTCTTACCTTGTTGCCATTTGTGTTGCTGTGCAGAATGTGCAAGTAACTTTCAGATATGTCCTATTTGTCGTCAAAACATAACGACTGTAGTCAAAGTATTTATATCGTGAAGTAAGACTTGTGTACATGGGAGGTGAAGGTCACAGTGAACCTGACAAGAAGTGTGTTTTGGTCTCTCCAGATACAAATCCAAAATACACTGGAATTACTGGAGTATCCCTGATGAAACTGGTCACAGCTATTCTATACCTGATATAGGATGTTACTGTAGTGTTGGCGAAGAGAACTTATTCTGAAAAACAAGTTATTTGACCAAAAAACATCTGAGGTCTGACAGAAGCTCACCGTGGTTGAGTGACCACAGTGCTGACCACTATCAGCCATACACCTGGGACTTACCTGTATTGTGTTCTCACACATAGTTATATATATAGTCATACAGAAGCACTATAACTGAGCAGCCTGTGTCTTCACTGATTTGTAAACATGGCTTCTACAAGGAGTTCAAGTGCAAGTAATAGCAAAGGATATGCGAAAGCTTCTCAAAGTTATTCTGGAAGATGTATCCAAAAGGTCGACAAATGATGAAAAACTGGATAATATTTTTGAAATTGTCTCCACTCTTCAACATGAGATCAATATGCAAATGAAAGTCCTTCGAGAGGAAATGTAAACAGAAAACCGAGAACTAGTTGAAAGACTTGAGGGACGTATTTTTGACTTGGAGGAGCAGAACTCGAAACTAACACGTACAGTTGAAACTCTGGAACAAAAAGTGGCAGATTTAGAGGAGAAACAGCACGAAATGGTCAATAAACAAAATGACTTGGAACAGCACGGCAGAAAAAACTCAATTCGAATATTTGGCATAGAGGATAACAACAAGTTCGAATCTGCAGAAGAATGTGTCAACAAAATTGTAAAGTTTGTGAGGGACAAGTTGAAAGTAAACATCAGTGAGGCAGATATTGACATTGCCCACAGATTGGACCCTTACCATAAAGACAAGTCTAGGAGTGTGATATGTAAATTCACTCATCGTAGAAAAAAAAAGTGATCAAGACCAGAAAAGCACTTAGAGGATCAGGATGTGTTATAACTGAGTATCTTACTCGAGCCAATCAAAAAAACTGAAAGAGGTTTTCCATCTTGGGTGTGTTGAAAAGACTTGGAGTACAGATGGCAAGCTATTCGCACTGTTGAAAATGGTAAAAAAAGGAGAATCCTGAATGACACTCAGCTGTGTGACAAGTTTTTGCTGAATGACAATAACTTTATATACTGATATATGTTTCAACCTGAAACAAGGATGTGATACACATGTCTGCATCTGTGAAAATCAGTAACATTTATATGTACAAAATTAATTTCAGTAAGAAAACAAATATATAAACATTTAGTGTAGTACATGTAGATTGGACAGATATAGAATGACATGTGACACCAATATATATCACAATTATAAAATAGGGCCTGTATCATATTTTGTTTGTTTACTTTTATGTGTTGTTACCAGGTTTCTGATTATAAACCTTGTTTTTTGTTTTCAAAGCATATGTTTAACAAAAAAAAGTGTTGTATATCAGATAAGCTCCATAAATATTGATACCGATATTGTGCAGCATACTCAATAACAAATATAAAAATATACATATTTTGTAAATAGCCTAATAAATTATACCACATGCTTGACTATTGAATCAATAAAATATTTCCCATGTGAACACATGTGATGATATCGAAAGACAAGTAATGCATGTATCATAATACATATAAGTTAAAATGTTGATAGCATGACGGATATTATGTAATCCGGAGCCGGTTTCAATTTTGTAAAATTATTGTTGACTTCCGCCACGCTTTCTGCGATAAATGAATAGATATTGATTATGTATGGTTTGATAGTGGTTCAGTTTCATCTGACCACATCTTTATGTTTTTCTGTGTCTTCTTCTTTCGTGTACTTCTAGTACTGCCTCTTGTTCTTTTCTTCTGTGTCAGTTTCATCACATTTACTAGAATATTCCTGGCAAGGGAACTATTTATATCTTTTTCGATTGTCATAGGCAGTGTCTTATACATGGTGAGTGAGTATAAGCTATTAATACAACTTGTTTGTTGAGGGTATAAAAATAATATCAGCAAATTGTCAAGGTTTGGGAGATAGAAATAAAAGAAACGATGTATTTTCTTACTTAAAAAATAAAAACTAAAATATTTTCAGTTTACAGGATACACATTTCACACATGACATTGAAAATATAGTTAGAGCAGAATGGGGTTATGAATGCTATTTTAATTCATTTAGATCAAATGCAAGAGGGGTAGCAATGTTTTTTAATAACAATTTTGAAGTAAAGGTAATGCAGGAAAGAAAGGATTTGACAGGGAATTTTTTGGCTCTTGATTTGACGATAGAAGGTAGAAAAGTAACATTGTATGACCCAAATTCAGACAATCCTACTTTTTATGAAAACTTAACAAAAACTATTTATGCATTTGGCAATGAGTCTTATATAATATGTGATGATTTTAATTTAACTTTGAACCCTATCCTAGATAATGATGAAAGCTACAAACATATTAACAACCCAAAAGCCAGAGATAAGATAATTGAACTTATAGAAGAGTTAGGAATAGTTGATATATACAGAGAACAACATCAGGAACATAAAAGATACACCTGGAGGAGAAGTGACCCTATTAAACAAGCTCGTTTAGATTTCTTTCTTATCTCAGATAGCTTATTAACAAGTATTCATTACTCAAATATAGAGCCAGGCTACAGAACTGGTCATTCATTTCCTATTATTGCTATAAAATTTAATGAATTTAAGAAAGGTAAAGGATTATGGAAGTTTATTAATTCACTCTTATATGATTCAGATTATCTTGAACTCATTAATAAACTTAATTTAGATATTAAAATACAATATTCTCTTCCAGTGTACCGTTTAGATAACATCAAAAACATTCCTGATTCTGATCTACAATTCACAATAAATGATCAACTTTTTTTTAGAAACACTACTGATTGAAATTCGTGGCAAAACCATTTCCGACTCTTCATATAAGAAAATACAACAGAACTTAAATGAAAGTAATCTTATAGAAACTATATGTGACTTAGAAGATTGTAGTGATGTTGATACAGGTAAGGTAAAATGAAAGGAAAATAACAGGAATTACAAAATATCAGATTACATAAATTAGAAGGTAGCATAATTAGATCTAGAGCTAAATGGGTAGAGGAAGGTGAGAAACCAACAAACTATTTTTTTAACCTAGAAAACAGAAATTACATTTGAAAGTTAATACCAGTGATAGAGAAAGATAATGGTGACAAAATAACTAAACAGGCAGAAATTTTTGATGAGGTTAAAAGTTTTTATAAAAAATTGTATACAGTTGATAATGATATAGAAGATGTTAATATAGAAGATTTTTTTTAAAAGATATTGATATACCGAAATTAAGTATTATAGAATCTAACAAATTGGAAGGTAAAATTACTCCTGAGGAAGCTTCAAAGACTTTAAAAGCTATGAAAAAAAAATAAAAGTCCAGGCTCTGATGGATATACAGTTGAGTTTTTTAAATTCTTTTGAAACAATTAGGTAATTTTATCGTCAGTTCAATTAATTATGGTTTCAATCAGGGTCAGTTATCAATTACTCATAATTACATGTATACCTAAGGGAGACAAACCTCGACAATATCTTAAAAATTGGAGACCAATTTCTTTACTAAATATTATCTATAAAATTGCATCTGGATCAATAGCTAGCAGAATAAAAACAGTTTTAAGTAAAATAATACAGATCAAACAGGATTTATTGCTGGCCGCTATATTGGGGAGAACACACGAATAGTATATGATATTATGCAATATGCAGAAGATAGAGATATACCTGGATTGCTGTTAATAATTGATTTTGAAAAAGCTTTTGACTCTGTTTCTTGGAATTTTATTTACAAAGTTTTGGATTATTTTAATTTTGGGGAAGATGTAAAAAAAAAAAAAAAAAAAATGGGTAAAAATTCTACAAAAAAAAAATCAAGCTCAGCTATTAATCAAGGGGGAAATTTGTCTCCTTTTTTTGAAATTCAAAGAGGCTATAGGCAGGAAGACCCAATCGCACCATATATATTTATAATGTGTGCTGAAATTTTAGCTATTAGAATAAGGAACAAATAAAATATAAAAGGTATTGATATTGATAATTTACTTTCTCAATATGCAGATGACACTACACTTATTTTGGACAGTATAGAGAGATCACTTAAAGAGTCAATAGATGAACTAAAGGCTTTTGCAAAAATATCTGGATTAAAAATAAACGTTTCTAAAACTCAGGTTATTTGGATTGGGAGTAAAAAATATAGTGATGAAGTTGTGTAACCTGAATTAAATTTACAGTGGGGATATAAATAATTTATACTTTTAGGCATTGAGTTTCATGTGGATCTACACCGAATACCTAAATTAAACTACGATAAAAAAACTAGTAAAGATAAAGGCACTCATTAGAACTTGGGACAGAAGAATTTTGACTCCAATAGGTAGAATTCATATTATGAAGGCATTATTAATTTCTCAGTTTAATCACCTCTTTATCTCATTGCCAAATCCAGATGATCAATTTCTGAAAAAGTTAAACACAGAACTGTACTTTTTTTTATGGAAAAGTAAGGTGGATAAAGTCAAAAGAGATATAACTATCAAAAAATACATTGATGGGGGTCTAAAAATGATACATGTAAAATCTTTTATCGAATCTCTTAAGCTAACATGGTTAAGGAGACTCTATACAGGTCCAAGTAAATGGCAAGTAATTTTAAGAACTTTTGTTGATAATCATATTTTAGCTAACTGTGGACGTGAATATATTTCAATATGTCATAAAAATTGTAAGAATTTATTTTGGAAAGATGTTTTTGAGGCATGGATAAACTTAACAAATAAACACATTTTAAAACAATCCCCAGATATATTGGCCAAAACACCATTATGGTATAATAATGTAATAAAAGTAAATAACCAGTGTATTTTTTATAGGGATTGGTACAATAAGGGTATAATTATTAACAGTGACTTAATCAATAGAGACACTAATTTGTTTTTCTCTTTTCAGGAATTTCAACAGGTC